TCCCTATTTGTTAGTTTCCTCGTGTGAATAGAGCTTTTCAAACTACACGGTTTCCCAGATAGGGTCCTTGAACGGCACACATGGGCCACAGCTATTTGTGGTTTAGTCATGAGCAGGTACATTGAGGGAGAACTGTTTGATGGGTTTTTCTGAAAGCTACTCTGTTTTTTTGTTGGGATGGTGGAGTGAGGGAGACATTCTGCAATCACCATTAACCATGGCTGCTGCTTCTCCCTCAAAGACTCTGCTCCCTTTCTACTCAGGCATATTACTGGAGCGGAGCCCGAGTCAGACAAAAACCCTACAGCTGCCTGCACAGTGCATAGCATTATCTCTAAAGGGCAGACAAGGGAGCTTATATGGGCAGTGACTTACCCCTTGTTTTTGTGCTGTTAGTAGTGGGTGGCAGGCATTGGAGACACCAAGTGATTATCTTGATCTTGACTCTTTAAAGATATGAGTATTAAGAGCATCACGCTTGTCTACATGTACATGCTGACATGAACCTCTGTGTTTGTGTGTTTTGCTGCTCAGGCATAAGAATGCTGGATGGCATTGTGACGGATGCTATTGAGGCCAGCTCCATTGGATTCAATCCTGGACATGTGGATATTTACAGTGCGAGCTGGGGTCCTAATGATGATGGGAAAACTGTGGAGGGGCCCGGCAGACTAGCCCAGAAAGCTTTTGAATATGGCGTCAAACAGGTGAGATGCTAAACATGAGATGTAACTTGACCATTTGGATATTAGGAAAAAGGGAGAACACTTGGGTTATATGGAAAGTATTATGAATTTCTTGACAAAATCCTTTATAATTTTATTTATTTGTTTGTTTTTTTCATTTTTTCCATGATCAGAAGAGACAGAGACAGAGACTCAGCACTCCTGACAAAGTCTCGACACCATGATCCACCCCCAGCTACAGCCAACTCCAGATCATGGGTACACGCATGCCCAGTGTACTGAGGGAATCTCTAGACATAAACCCAGAACTTTTCCATGTAGGTCAGCCTTGCTGATCATCACGTTCTACCACTGTGCTGCTATTTGTGCTTTCCTACCCTTTTTAAATGCACTTAGAAAGCTAAATGCTTCTTCAAACGGATGGAGATTTAAGAGTTAAGAGAGTTTTCCCTGTTTGGATTTGGCATTGAACAAAGATTCATTACTTTTAGAACATTTGTTTCAAAGGTACTTCTGGACATTTTTTCCTCCATTCTCATTTCCCTGCTACTTTGGGGTCTCTACACTAGGTAAACAACTACCCTGACTTATTTCAAATGCTCTGAAAATGCACTCTGAAGTACAGTAAAACACGGCCCTCCTTTCTGTGCATGCCTGCAGAATACGTGTGCCCTGGTTGTGCCGGTTTGTCACTTGGGTTGACTGCTTTGTTGCCCAGATTCTAAGGCCTTGTACTCCACAGGATAAAACAAAAGTAGAAACTTTGGAGAGCACGCATTGAAAAATCATAGAAGGGGTGGCCTTGACGAGTTCCATTCAGTGAAGAGTCCTTTTAATGCAGCTGCAAGGCAGATCTGAATAATGCCTGATTTTGTCATTCTGTCAGTCTGCCAGAAGACTCAAGCAGAAAGAAAGGGAGGAAGTTCAAAGATTCAAGAGTAGTGACACAAACCAAGAGAAGAGTGAAAAAAGATGGGTGAATGCTAAAGGCTAGATTACAAATCTGCACAATCAGGAAGAGAAAGAGAAGCACTTCTTCAGCCCAACCCAGGAAGGGCCCAGATGGCAGACGGGCAGGGGTGGAGCTGGTGGCTAACAATGTACCATCTTGTGATATTTCCAACATGGGTACTGGAAAACCTGGAGTTGATAATAGACTCCAAATAACTGGCCTGGAGAACTTCCCATTTGTGTTTTGGAGGGACATTAGTGAGGAACAACATTGATTCCCATAGATAATAATAGATGTGATGTATTCTCACTTTTCCTTTAGGGGAGGCAAGGGAAAGGCTCCATCTTCGTCTGGGCTTCCGGGAACGGGGGCCGTCAGGGAGATAACTGTGACTGCGATGGCTACACGGACAGCATCTACACCATCTCCATCAGCAGCGCCTCCCAGCAAGGCCTATCCCCCTGGTATGCTGAGAAGTGCTCCTCCACCCTGGCCACCTCTTACAGCAGCGGGGATTACACCGACCAGCGAATTGTATGTTGCTTTTGTCTAACTCTCCCTGCTTGGGTAGGAGAGCATGGCTTGCATTCAGAATGATCCTCTTAACTGACCTTTGGTCACATTGATTTACTTAAGCTTGATGTCTCAGTTGGGGAGACGTGCTTACTCATGTGAGGCTGGCATATATTGGGAGTTTTCTCTCCAGGGATAATGATACTTCTGCCAAGATCGTCTTCCTTCTCTGTCATTTTAAAACTCAGCCCTGAGAAGCCACCAAACCTGTCATTACGGATAGCCGAGACTCTGAATGTATTTTCTTCCTGTCTGATGCCTCCTTGGAAACAGCCTTAAAGGAGATTTTAGGGTTAGAGGGGCTTTATCACCCTTGTACTTGCTGATCCTTTAATAGGAGAGATAGAGTCTGACTTGCCCTTTAGCAGATGATAAAATCACAGGTCTATACCAGCTATGTCTCCAAAGAGCAGAAGCCTGCAGGAAAATAACAGTCTCAGTTTCCCCTGAGGCCAACTTCCCAGCATCTGGCTAAGCAGCTCAGAGAGGTCATATGCTCAGAGAGCTCCTCCAGTCCACTTCGCCTGTGCTTTGCATCCATGAGTCAGACTGCCAAGGACAATTATTGGATTTTCCTCCAAGGGCATGATGATGAAGGGCCATTCGGGGGTTTTGAGAATAAAGAGAGGCACTTTAAATTTTCAAATGCAAAGCCTCAAATTTAGCTCCTGACATAGAAAGAACCAACTAGCTCAATGAACTAGCAAATCATGATCCAATTAGAGCTGGATGAGCCCCGTAATAATTAGCTTGGAATATACGCAAAATTCCTATTAATGAAATCTCAAGAAACTCATCAGCTCTAATGTCTTTTCATACAGGACCATGATTCTACAACTCTGCCTGTTTGGGTGACCCTGATTAGACAGTGCAACTGTGGTCTCAACTTCAAAGTTCTAGCGTCCCTCTCATGACCATATCTTCAATTATCAAATGCTAGACAGTGACATTCTACCCAAGGGTTCTTTATGGCAAGCATATTTTATAACCTTTGAAAGGGAATATCAGACGACTGCCCCACTTGTGTTCTAAGCCCTAGGCTGTTGTCACTCCTCTGGGTGTCCAGAGCTGCCTTTAGAAATGACCTGGTTCCCATTTTAGAATCGCCATGTCATATACTGCCCCCGATCTGGGCCACCCAACCCTGAAGCAGGAGGATTTTCCATTGTTGTGAAGATCTCTCCTTAGGTAAACCAGCATCAGAGAGACAGCTGGTGGATTCTATTTGAGAAGGTTGCAGTAACATTGCCTTTTTCTTACGCAAACGGCTTTCTCAGCACATTCATCTCTGGGGGCTTACTTGCGTCAACAGGTAAAAAGGGCAGTCTTGCTTCCTCAGCTGCTGTGGAGCAGAGCCACTGTAACCTGAGAATTCAGTGACTCCAAGTGGGAAGCCAAAGGAGGTGATAATAGAACAAATTATTTTTTTACACCTCCCTCCCACACATCAAAATCTCTAGCTTAAAAACCTTAGTGCAGGAGCCTGGGTGGGTGCCTTGTTAACAATTCTTTGGCCCAACTCCTTGTTCAACCAGCAGCTGCGTGGTCTGTACAAGGCAGGCTGATCGGATGTCTGGTTTCTTCTCGTTGTCTCAGCAATCTCTTCATTGCTCTAAAGTTAGTCTGGATAATTCCTTACCTGCAATAAGATTGTGTGAAAATACTTTCACAGATAGGATTTCATGTCAGCCTCAGAATGTAAGTCAATGTTCAGTCTCATTTTACAAATAGAGAAACCAAGTGACTTGTACATGGGACACCTCTAATGAGTAACATCTCTAGAACTGGAAACCAAAACTAAGTCCAGCGCACTTTTAATTTTAGAAGCTCATGGTTTTCATCCAAATGTAAGTGTGGACACTAACTCAAGGCCATCAAATCGAGTCAACAGTAAGTGTGAACTGCACACTAAGCAAATGGTGTGCAAGTGCCTAAGATCAGGATGGCTCCAGGTCCTCGTGCTAAAGAGGCAGCCAAATGTCGGTCTGAAGGCAAAAGGGAATTTTGTACGAGGCAGAATTGCTAAATATGCCAGACCAAACACAATGGACCTGATGATTAATGGGCCGGCATGATTCACAGTGATTTTGAAACGGTTCCTTTTTTGTAGACAGCATTTCGTTTGGGAAACTCAGAAGAGAAAGATATTCATAGTGGGAGTACTTTATCCCCAGAAAAGGCATCTTGTTGCCAGAATTACAGACAAGTTGCAATATAGAGGAGAGCGAACTGAAATATCAGCAGATGGCAAACATCCGCCCGGGGTTTGGAGGAGGAAGTAGGGAATCGAATCAGCTGAGTTTCCTGGTCATAGCAGATGCGGCCTTTGCTGTGGTTCGCCCTGGGGACAGGCTCACACTCCTCGTCTTCCCTACTTTTCTCTCCTTCCTGTCACATTTAGACCAGTGCTGACCTGCACAATGACTGCACAGAGACCCACACGGGCACCTCGGCCTCGGCACCCCTGGCGGCTGGCATCTTTGCTCTGGCCCTGGAAGCAAAGTAAGATCCAGAAACTTCAAATCATCTTTCCTAAGGCTGCTGCTTCTTTTAAATAGCGCATGTTATTTTCTGTACATACGGTTAGAGTATAAATTTAGGAAACCTACTGTAAATAAATTAATTAATTAATAAAGGTAGGTTTTCTTCCTGCTACTTTGAATTAATAACTCAAGTAGACTAAAGGCATGCATGTATCTTACAAAGTTGGGATCTCAGTATACATGTGATCTTATGGTCTGTTATTTTATTTTTATTACTTATTTATGTTTTGCGGGGGAGGGAGAGACTTTGCTATAGAGTACATGCGCATGACAGAGAGACAGAAAGGTTGAAATCACCCCCCCTCCCCAGGGGGATGGCCACACTGCAATCCCCTCACCTCCATTCTCCTCTCAAGAGTTTGGGCATGCACGCACATGCTGGCGGCTGGCATCTTTGCTCTGGCCCTGGAAGCAAAGTAAGATCCAGAAACTTCAAATCATCTTTCCTAAGGCTGCTGCTTCTTTTAAATAGCGCATGTTATTTTCTGTACATACGGTTAGAGTATAAATTTAGGAAACCTACTGTAAATAAATTAATTAATTAATAAAGGTAGGTTTTCTTCCTGCTACTTTGAATTAATAACTCAAGTAGACTAAAGGCATGCATGTATCTTACAAAGTTGGGATCTCAGTATACATGTGATCTTATGGTCTGTTATTTTATTTTTATTACTTATTTATGTTTTGCGGGGGAGGGAGAGACTTTGCTATAGAGTACATGCGCATGACAGAGAGACAGAAAGGTTGAAATCACCCCCCCTCCCCAGGGGGATGGCCACACTGCAATCCCCTCACCTCCATTCTCCTCTCAAGAGTTTGGGCATGCACGCACATGTGCCCAATGTGAGTTTGAAGCCACTGGGTTCGTGACTCGAACTGCCAGCAATGTAACGATTACACCATCTGCTTGTTCCAGTGATCTGTGTTTTAAATCCACCCTGAAATATACTAAAAGTGCTTCCTCAAGTCTGAGTCAATGTTTCTTGACCTTTAAAAACTCATACTCTTGGGCCAGCAGGTGATATGGTTGTTAAGGCATTAGAGTCCCATGTGGCCCACCACAGTTCAAGTCCCAGACCCAGTGGCTTGAAAATTTTGTGCATGAATGTCCCAAATTCCAAGAGGAAAATGAAGGAGAAGGGATTGTGGCATGGTCATACTCCCATGGGAGTAAATGACCGTTTTTCCTCTTTCTGTCTCTCTGGTGAGTTCATATGCCCTATGGCAAAAAAAAAAAAAAAAAAAAAAAACCCTCATGTTCTGCTCCCAATTTTCCTTCCACTGAGATAGGAGACCTTCTCACTTTCGTTTATTCCTGTCTGGCAGGATTTTGTCTACGTTATTTTCTGTGAGTAGTATTAGGGACAACAAGTTTAAAAAAAATCCTTTCTTTTTTTTTTCATCATAGATTAGCCTTATTCTGGAGTTGATATAACCACATCTGGAGACTTGAGAATTCCAGACAGCATTTTTATGTTTTCATAGTATTTCATTGTATTAATGCAAATTTTGTTAAAGTCATCTAATCATGCTTAGACAAATACTCTTGCCCATAAATATTGGTTGTCATCTCTGATGATTTCCTCAGGATAAACACGCAGAGTTAGAGTTTGTGGGCCAAAGGGCTGGCATGTTTCAGTGATTTTTGATATATATTGACAAGTTGCTGCCTTGAAAGACTACACAATTTTATACTCTCACCAGTAGTGTTGTGTGAAAGTGTCAGATACCAAAGCCCTTGCCAAAACTACTTTTATTATCTTTTAAAATGTTGACTATTTTGATAGGTAAAAACAGTATGTCATTTTAGTGTGCTTGAACTTCATTACTAATGAAGATCGGTTTTTTATATTCTTTAGCTGTTTGCCTTCTGTTGTTATTGCCTCTTAATGGACTAGATTATTATCTTTTTTTCTTAAGAATTATTTATTTATTTAATTCTAATTGTTATTATAATTATTATTATCAATTTGACTAGACAGAGAGAAAGAGAGAAAGGGAAAGTGAGAAAGCAAGCCACAGGTCCGGTACTCAAACCATGGTCAGCCATGTGGGAGTCCAATACCTTTAACCACCATGCCACTTGCCAGCCCCGATGGACTGGATTACTAAGGCTTTATCATTTATCTTTTAACATTTATCTTTTCATTTGTGTATATATCATTTTTGATGTAATGCAGTTAATATGTACATAGTTCTAATTGTCAGTCTTTTCCTCAAGGCGTCTTCCTTTGCTTTATGCCCAGAAAAAAACTTCATAATATCAAATTAGATAAACATTTATTTATACATCTTTTATTATGATTCCTTTATCATACTTGAATCATAAATTCTCCTGGAATTTATTTTAGTTTATGATATTAAAAAGAGATTTAACAACATTCTTTCTATAATAGTTATCCCATAGTCCCGTACTTAGCACAGAGTGAAAAACTTATACAAGAAAGAAATAACCTAGGAATGATATAACCTCATTAATCTTGTCTCCTATGAACTATTACTAAGGCAGAGGCTCCATTGTTATGAAAGATATGACTGGGGACCAAAGTCTGTGAATTGCTTTAAAATTAAATGCGGAATTGCTTATTAAGTATATGCATGATGTTTTTCTGGGAAGGATGTGTACGTTCCAACAGACATTCACTGTGCTCATGATATAAGAGCCATTAAGGGTCTATTGATCCAGCCTGGTGACATAGTCCATAGTGTACTGGACTGCAGTGTTGGAAGCCACATGGTCTGGTTTGGGTTCCTGGTTGGCTTGAAAAGATGTCAGGTGTGCCCATGAGCACTCAAAGAGACTTGGCGGCATGATGAGACCCTGTCAAGGGTGCTGTCTTACTCTCGTTCTCTCTCTCTCTTTTGTATGTATATACTGTCATTAAAAATGAAAAAATAAAAACAAAAAGTCTATGATCTCCAGATGCATATCATAAGAATTTTATTCCCTTCTTTTCAATTGCACTCATTGGTAAGATGGATATGATCTGTCTCAATATTGATATCTGTCCTGCCAAAGTAGTTAAGAGGTTTTTGAGATGTCTGTTCTCAGTTGGACAGTTTTTTGAACTCTATTAAATTGTCTTTGGTATCTTGACCAAACTTTGAGATACAATTGCAATAAAAAGTTACTTTAACCAGAACTAGTATTTCAGAAAATCTGAATGTCAGAAATTCTTAAAGGGTGACCAGGCTTTATCCCTAGACACTCAAGATTGACAGCATCATTTAACCATGGACCATCCCTCAAGAAACAACTATAAAGACTGAAGCAAAATGCTTGAATAAACTTATTAAGAATAAATGACACCCAATATTTATCAGGTTCTTACTATAAACAGACACTGTGTGTTATTAACCTCTTTATATATAAAATATTAAATTTAATACTTATGATATTCTTATGACAAAGAAATTATTACTTGCATTTTATAAATAAAGATAACCAGGCTTAGAAAGGTTGAGAAATGAAACTAAGGTCCCATGAAGAGATTCAAACTCAAGTCTTTCTGTCCCCAAAACTTGTGGTGTCAGCAACTGTTTTATGTTGTCTGCTACATTCTGTGAGAGAGAGGCAGTGGGGAGCAGCGGACTGTCATCTCCTCAAGGAGAAAGGGGTTCAGAAGCTTGAAGCTGATGAATGAGCAGGAATTTTCAAGGTCCTTGAAAGTTTTGCATCCCAAACAGAGTACCTACTATGTTGCATTGAATATGGGAATGAGGAGAGGAAAGGAAAGGAGGAAGAATAGTTTATGGCTAAAGTGTGTACAGAGGCTCCACTAGATTAGTGTTTCATGAAGACTGGGAAACATCGTTACCACCCCAGGACATTTATTTAATATGCAGACTCTCAGGTCCTTTTGCCAGCATCTCAGAAGTTTCTAGTATGTGGAACTATAAATCTTCAGGTTTAACGAGCATCCCAGATAGTTTTCTTGCTGGTCATATCTTTACCAAACTTTGAGAAACAATTGCCATAAGAAGTTACTTTAACAACTGTGTTTTATCCATCTCTGATAAATGTACTGACCAAAAGAGATTTCTTGCATAAATGCCGGTGGCACTATTGTTATTGTGTAGTGTATATGCCTAAGAAAGATGTCAGATAACAGCCTTAGTCATCTGAGGGGAGATCAGAAGACTCAGGATAATTTTATTTATTTCCCCATGAGTGAGAACAGAGAGATAGAAAGAGAGAGAAAAAGAAGAGCAAGCCAGAGAGATAACACTCCCAATAGGGTCTTAACTCTGCGACCACCCTTAGTTTTAGCCAGTTCCAGGTCACAAGCACACACAGAGTCCACATACTCAGTGAGGTCTTTAGACACAAACTCAGAACCTTCTCATGTGGGTCAGTCTCACAGAACTTTGCATTTTACCAGTGCCTAACTGACCAGCGCCCAAAATCAGAATAATGTTTTTTTTTTTTTTTTGAGAGATTTTCACTGTAGGGCGCATGCGCTTGCCAGACAGAGAGAGACATAGAGACAGAAAGCGAGATAATACCCTAGGGTGGATGGTCACGCCGCAATCCCTTCTCCTCCATTCTCCTCTTGGGATCTTGGGCACGCACGCACACGCGCCCGGCGTGAGTTTTTTAAGCCACCGGGTCCGGGACACGAACCGCAGTCGACTACGTGGGAGTCCAGCAACATAGCCATTACGCTAACTGCTGGTTCCCAAAATCAGAATAATGTTTAAAGGGAGTATTTTTAAAATAAACCATCACATCCTTCCATATCTTTGGAGTTATTAAATAAATGGGTAAATCAATCTTCTATTTTTATTGGAGAAAGAAAAATGGATTTTCTTTTTTTTCTTTTATTTATTATTATCATTATTATTTTTAATTTGACCAGAAAGAGACAGATAGTGAGAGAAAGGGAAAGTGGGGGAGGGGGGGGAGAGAGAGAATCACAATCAGAACAATCCTTTACTCAATTGTGGAATGCTGTAAAGTCCAGGCTAGAAAATCCTCAACACCTAGGCTCACCCAAGTGTGACAAGAGGCTGATCTAGATAACCCCTAAGATTTGTCCTAGGATTTTGTCTCCAGATTATTTTACTTACATCTCTTCTAATTAGGAGTAATGCTTAATTTCAGCATTTAATTTTATACCCCTTGTTTTCTATAAACAGATCTTTGATTAGCAACTCAACGCAGTTTTTAAAAATGGAGTGATTGTGGAAGATGTCAAGCACTAATTAACAAAAAGGAGGCTGTCAGGAACATGTTTGCTCTATTGTTAGCAATTCCTTTTTATTGAAATGCAAGTACACAAATGAAGAATAGCAGTTAGGAAAATAGGTTTAATTTTCCTATTTGTTAAGACACTGAAGTTCTTTGAATATTTTACAAAGACTAGATAAAAGAAAAAAAATTTAAACCCCCTGCAACTAAATGTAAAGAAAGTGCTCCACTGTAGAGCTATAGAAAGCCTGTGCTTTGTATATGATTCTGCTGCCTCTCAGCACCGTCTTACTCTCCTTGGACCCTTCCCCACCCCCAGCTGCACACACAGTGATGATCCAGATGGGAAACTTGTGTGCTGTCCATTGACCACCTTGATAAGCTTTTACCTAACACTCCCTTTAAGACACTGGAAAGATGAGACCAACAGATAGCCTAATGGTGACATTGCTGGACTCCCTAATGGTTACATTGCTGGGCTCCCACATAGTCCACCACAATTTGAGCCTGGGACCCAGGGGCTTTAAAAACTCAGGCTGAGCATGTGTGCATGTGTGCTCTCATCCTGAGAGGAGAATGGAGGAGAAGGGATTGTGGCATGGCCATCCTCCTGGGGGGAGGGAGATGACTGCTCGCTTTCTGTCTCTCTCTGTCTCTCTGGAGAGCGCATACACCCTATAACAAAAATTTCTCTCTTAAAAAAAGAAAAAAGAAAAAGGACACTGGAAAGAAGCAAGTATTTACCCAGAGAGGTAAAGCAACTTGCTATAGTCACACAGTTCTTTGGCAGTAGAATACCACCAACATATGCTTTAATATGCTTTTTATTGCTCCTTATTCTTTTTATTAAGCTTTATTTTATTCCCTTTGAGAGAGAAATAGAAAGAGAGGCAGGCACCTCCAATAAGGTCTGGATAGTGTGATCAACCCCAGCCTCACTCAACCTGGATCACCAGCATGCATGCATACCCAGTGTGTACAAGGGACCTCTGGGACACAAACCCATGACTTTCCCATGTGAATCCAGTTGCATTACCACTGTGCCACCATCTGGCCTCTCCATTGCTCCCAGTTCTGATGGCATGATTGGAAATAACTTATAATTGTCTTAATTGGTCAGCTATTTGTAATCTTTCTACCAACTTTTGTTATTTTTGCAGTAAAATGGAGCTAGTTAAAAATCTTTTTTTTTTTCAAATACAAATATAAAAACCATGCCCTACACTCAGATATTTTGATCAGTAGGGTGGGAGTAGTTCTTGGATTTATTATTATTATTATTTATGTGTACTTTGGTAGTTTTATGGACCCTGAGGTGTGTGTGTTAGGAACGGGTAGAGGTAGAAAAGTACTGAGTACTGGATAAGAGTAGAGAAAAGTGGCTTCAAAGTTTTTCCCTCTTTGACCCATTAAGAGAACTGAGCAGGGGTGCCTGGAAATGTCTGCCCAAGGCTTCAGACACAAAGACTTAGGAATGAAGTGACCCACTGAGTCTAGGAATATAAATGAGCCAGAGAGTCCTAGTCCTTGACAGTAATTCCCCTCAACTACAGTGGACTGACTGTGCCATGTTGGGTGTGGGGAGGTGGGCTTTCCTGTGTGGCCTTCTAGATAAAGCCTTGATCATTGTCTATGGTCAGGCCTAGAAAATCACACATTTGTACTGATTGGTCTTAGGACTCAGACACCTCACTGTTTAGAAATGTTCAATGCCTCTTTCTTGTCACCAAGGGATGATTTAACTAGTGCATTAGCGCTCTAGAGAAAAGGTAGCAAATTGAGTCAGATTCTAATGATTATTTTTCTACAACTTAGTGGTAAGAGAGGAAACTTGAGTAAATGTTTCAGTACTTATGAAATGCTTGATTGGCTTGTAGGAAATAATGCAGGTCTCAAAGTCAAGGACAAACTTGAAATCTTGAAAGAATATGATTGACAGCAATAAATCTTAAAAGTTCTATTTGGAGCTAGTTAACTCTTAGGCACATCAGTCATTCAACCAAGCAATATTTACTCAGCATATACCCTAGTGGTAAGTACTCTTCTGAGTGCTTGACATTTATCCCGGAACTTGATAAATAAGGATCGTACATTTTCTATGGCTTAATTTTAGGAAAGACAGACATTAATAATACATAATACACTGAGCCAGCAGGTGGCATTGTGGTTAAGGTACTAGACTTCCACATGGCTGACCAAAGTTTGAGTCCTGAACTTGGTGGCTTGAAAATCACACCAAATGTGTGGGCATGTGTGCCCAAAATCCCAGGAAGAAAATAATAGAGAAGGAATTGAAGCATGACCATTCCCCCTGTGAGGGGTGATTTCTCACTTTACCTCTCACTGTTTCTCTCTCTGTCTCTCTCTGGTAAGTACACATGCCCACACATCTGGGGGATGTTGGAAAAGTCATGTCATGTTTTTTCTATGCACAAATGCTTCATGACTTCTCTACATCCAATATATACACATTCAATACAAATGAATTTTCCAGTATGATAGAAGGTGTTGAGTGCAATGGAGGAAGAAAACATGTAGCCAAATCAAGAAAGCTTGAGAGCATGTAGAGACAACTGAAATTTTAAACAGGGTGGTCAAGGAAGGCTTCATCATAATATAATAGATCCTACAATTCTTTGCATTGCCAGTTTATCTTTACCTTGTTGCTAAATTCATCTTACGAAGTCGTCTGATTTTACTGTGTCCTTGCTCAGATAGCCTGATGATTCCCACTGCCCAAAGGATAAAGCATATGCTCCCTTTCTAGGACTCAAGGTTCTTACCACTCTAGCTTGCTACCGTCATTACCTCCTCTCTGCTGTAGCCAACCAGACTCTAACTGGCCTGACCCGGGGCTGCTCCCTCTCCCCGTGGTGCTTTCTCCAGTTGCCTTGTACTCTCTTCTCTATCTCCACTTCTTGATATTATACCCACCATTTAAAGTGCAGCAAAACCTTTCAAGATCTTTTCATTCCATGGAAATTCTTCCTTCTCTAAACTTCCATAATACATTAAGCTTTGAACATGGCATGCAACAGATACATTATAGTTATAAAAAAAGATTAAATTATTTTACTGGATTGTATGCTTCTTAAAAATAAGAACCACCTTGTTGAATATCCCCACAGTATATAGCATAGTGACTTATAAAATAATCTCATATAGCTAAGAGATCGTTGATATTTTTTTTTCCTAAAAAGAGAAAGGTACGGAGATGGGTATTTTTTGTTTTGTTTTATTTTTTTAATTTTTAAATTAAGATTTTTTTTCCCCTCTAGGGCACATGCACTCACTGGAGAGAAAGAGAGAAAGAGAGAGTGTGAGAGAGAAAGTGAGAAATCAACCCCCGGAGGGGTGGCCATGCCGCAATTCTTTCTCCATTCTCCTCTTGGGATTTTGGGCAAACATACACACACGCATACGCATGTACACTTGGTGTGATTTTTCAAGCCACCAGGTCCAGGGCTCCGACTGCAGTTAGCCATTAGGGAGTCCAGCACCTTGGCCACTACACCACCTGCTGGCCTCTGGATAGGTATTTCTGTTTTGCCTTTTTAAAAGGAAAAGAGGTATTTGTTGACAGAGTCTCACCACATCACCATCTCCCTGTCCAAGCCCCCTCATTTAGCTAGGACCACAGACTAAAGCTAACCACACTGTCTATTTTAAGTCAGGTCAGGTACTGAACCTGAGGCCTCTCATGCAGCCTCAGCTATCACATTAGTGCCCTCCTACTTGAGTCACCTTGATATATATAAAGAAAAACGTCAAAATGTGTTTAAAAGTGAGTACCAGCCTGTCTTTAAAATTGGACTCTTCCTAAAAAGGGTATTAAAACCTCATTTGTGGGTTCATAACGCTAAAAGTGCCAAGGCTTTGCATAAACAGCATAAAATAAGAAGACATAAAGGAAATGTTATTTTGATTTTTTGCGCCAGTTAAACGTGAATGATTGGTTATCGTGGACTAAGTTCTATATTCTACAATGCTGAAGATAGAATTTTACTCATACTAAGAGCTTAATTTAAATATAACAGGGACAAACCTTCTGTCTTGTACTTTGAATATGAATGGAAACACATTGTCAGTAATAATGCTCAGTAGAATTATGTAAGTACAGTTGCAAAAGGCACTTCCTAATCCTTGCATGGCATTTTTACCACTTGCTCTCACAAGAAAACTTCAATTTGTCTCTGAAAGATACTTTGGGTTACTTCCCTTCCAGCCCAAATCTTACCTGGCGAGATATGCAACATTTGGTCGTGTGGACCTCTGAATATGATCCACTGGCCAATAACCCTGGGTGGAAAAAGAATGGAGCAGGCTTGATGGTGAACAGTCGATTTGGATTTGGTTTACTCAATGCCAAAGCTCTGGTGGACTTAGCTGACCCCAGGACCTGGAGCAGTGTGTTTTTTTAGTGTGTTGTAAAGGACAATGACTTTGAGCCCAGGTAAGTGTCTCCAGGAATTTTAAACAGCCATTTGTACATGGCACTGTTTGATTGTATGTTGCTCTGCTCCATTTTTTCTCATTCACCATTCTGAAGTAGGTAGGAATAGAGAGAGTGTTCTCTGTAGGTCTTCGTGGAGAATCACTAAGAGACTAAAGATTTATAAATCATGTTAGTGTACTTGCATTTTGTTCCCACAGTGCACCTGCAACATAGCATTAAGTCTAAGGTGCACCATTGTTTTATATTAGCACTAGGAATATATCCAGTACATGATGGCCAACCATCCACCAGGTTTTTGTTTGTTTGTTTGTTTGTTTGTTTGTTTGTTTGTTTTTGAGAGGTTTTTGCTATAGGGTGCGTGCGCTCGCCGGACAGACAGAGAGAGACAGAGAGACAGAAAGCAAGAAATCACCCCCCAGGGGTATGGCCACACCACAATCCCTTCTCCATTCTCCTCTTGGGATCTTGGGCACACACGCACACACACCCGGCATGAGTTTTAAGCCACCGGGTCTGGGACACGAACTGCAGTCGACTACGTGGGAGTCCAGCGACATAGCCATTATGCTAACTGCTGGTCCCACCATCCATCAGTTTTGAGATTGATCCCAAATTCAAAGTTGTTATGCTATTTTTAAAAATGAATGTTAGAGTGATGAACTATAGTATTTGCCAATCAGTATTGCCCAAAACCCATTTCCAAAATAACCACACTTCATGACACAGTCTTAAGTGATTCATGATTTTTCATTCGTGAAGTATCCGTTATTAGGCTGCTTTTTTACATAGACCATCTCTGGTATATCACAGCTGGCCATAGAAGCAGAATCTGCTATGAGTGTTTTGTTGTTTTTATCAAGAAAATTATAATACTGAAGACTCACACAAAATTCCTATGGGTGGGAAGCTTGGAGATATTGTAGATAAAAAAAATTTTCATAAGATGTTTTTGATAGTTTTAAGGCACATTTTACCTGAATTTCACAGAGAACAGCATTCTATTCAAGTATCTGTGCTCCTTACCATTTTCTCATGCACTAAAAATCATTTGTAGGTAATTCTGAATTGGATTCTACTCATAATAGTGAGCAATAATAAGGCTAGCTGAGTATCTAGTCAAGACTGACGTGAACACATATGCATAATGTGCCAGGAAGAAGAGATATATTTTATTTGATGCTTATTCTTTCATGTATTTAGAGCCCTGAAAGCAAATGGAGAAGTTATCATTGAAATTCCAACAAGAGCTTGTGAAGGACAAGAAAATGCTATCACATCCCTGGAGCATGTACAGTTTGAAGCAACAATTGAATATTCCCGTAGAGGAGACCTTCATGTCACACTCACTTCTGCTGCAGGTAAATTAAAAAAAAAATTTCTCTAAACCATTGGTTTAAGTATTTAAGTATAAATTGTGTAAATCAAATTATTTCAAATCAATGATTTTTTTTTCATAGGAATAAGTCTTTTAGTAGGTATTTTTGAATCTTAAAAACCATGCTTATTTTTTATTTCTCTTGATGTTAGGTCTCCCTTTGCCCTGTCATTCCCACTGATCCTTAAGTAAATAGAAAATGAGACCTATTCAAATAATGCCAATTAAGAAGCTCCTCTGGTGTCATGCAAGTTCTTTTTTAATTTTTTTATTGTTATTTATACATTTAATCTCTATACCTCACTTAGATTGTAAAAAGACTTTACCCAGCACAATTCACTATTGCTAAGACATGGAACTAACCCAAATGTCATGTATTTTCAAACTGTGTCCACTTTCCCAGCACTGACATAACAATCATTTCTTTCAAGTAACACATTAGTGAAAGTTACTATGATAATTAACTAATGAAACTTACAGATAAATATGAAACATCCAAAGAATCAGTTTAAAAAGTGGGAATTCTGATCCATGGAAGAAGGTCGAGAAAACTAACAAATGTAACGTAATGACATGACGAAGGCCACACGATATGATATGACATATGGGCATTTGCCCTTTCCTGAGAGGGAACTTATTTTGATGAGATAGTAGATGGGAAAGAATTCATGAACTATAAATCACAATCCAACCAGGAGGAGCTGTCCCAACAACCTTACATGTTTTAGTAGGACACAATGGACTAAATTAAACATCTATGTGATGTATGAGGAAAATTAAGCTTTCTCTATGATCTTCTAGGATATGAACTCCTAGAAGTTTGGAGCAAGCTCTCTTAATTGTAGAGTTGTGCTTTCTAGATGTCTTAAAACTGGTCTGAAATACCAATGGAATGCTTTTTGTCATAAATGAATCTATAGTTCATTTAACTCTTTCTCATAGAAAGAAATTTTATTTATTAATCTATTATAGGACCTAGACTTAAAAATGTATGTTCATACTAGTTTTTAAATGACAAGAAATTAGTAAATTAGCATACTTTAGTAAATCAACACATTGATTAAATAGTTATTGATAAATATTAATAATTAAATAACAAAGTAAATGATAAGACAATTTTTTGAGAAATTTTTGCTATTGGGCATGTGTGCTTGCCAGAGAGATAGGGAGAGACAGAGAGACAGGGAGTAAGAACTCATCACCCAAGGGAGATAGCCATGCCTCAATCTCCTCTTTTTCATTCTCCTCTTGGAATTTGTGGCACGCATGTACACACTTTCAGCATGAGTTTCAAGTCCTTGGGTCCAGGACTCGAACCACAGTTGGCCATGTAAGAGTCTAGCACCTTAATTGCCCTGCCACTTGCTGGCTACAATTATAAGATAATTTAAATGTTTACATTAGATTATAGACTCAGACACATATTAAAATTTTAAGATTTTCTTTTACATTTCAAAAAATTAATGTCACTAGAATATACTTTAAATCTTTAACTTCCTTTTTCATTATTTTTTCTTTCACAAGAGACACAGGCAGACAGGTGCTCTTGACAGAGTCTTTCCTTGTCATGATCTTTCCTTTAGTCTACGAGCCACGCAGGACCACAGGCACACATAGGTATGCCTGGCGTGTTCAGATCAACCCAGGGTCCGAACCCAGGCCTTGCATCTGACTTCAGCATTGCATAGTGGTGCCTTACCACCTGTACCACAGTGGCTGAGCCTTTGACCTTCTTTTTCTTAAATTTATTTATTTCTTCCATAAGCAAGAGAAACACAGGAAGAGAGCGAGTCATGCACCCCTACCAGGGTCTTGATAAATCCACCCCAGCCTTCCTCCAGGCCTGGATTACAAGCTTACCTGTACTGGTGCACATGGGGAGGTCTCCGAACTTGAGCCAGGAATCCCCCTTGTGGGACTGCATCACGGAGCATTGCATTTTATCACTGTACAACCCCATGTCCCCTTGGTCTTCTTTAATTTAATTATAAGTGTAGTTCTCTGAGTTTTCCTTACTTAAATACATTTTACTCAACATATTCATTTATTATTCATTTTTTCTACAATATTTACTGGTGAAAATAATACTATTTATTATTATATACTAGGTAATATACCAAGTACTGTGAATAAAGTTTTTTTCTTTTTAAATATTTTTTGCTATAGGGCACGTGTGCTCACTTGAGAGAGATACAGACAGAGAGAGGAAAGTGAGAAACCAGCCCCAGGGGGGATGGCCATACTGCAATCTGTCCTCCTCCATTCTCTTTTCAGGGTTTTTGGCTGGCACTCGCATGTGCAGGATGTGTTCTTCAGGCCACCAGGTCCAAGACGAACCGTGGAGTCAGCCGTGTGGGATCCAGCACCTTAACCACCGTGCCACCCACTGGCCCCAAGACATCATTGCTTCTTTTCTTTGTGAATATCTCTATCCTGTACTTACACTAAGAGGAAATTAGGAGGATGAATCTCTCCCAGCTTTCATTTTCAGTTGTCAGGTGCTAGAAGGCATCCCACTGTTGGAGCTGTTAGATATTAACTCACTTGTGTTTGTTGCACGAATAGGAACCAGCACTGTCCTGCTGGCTGAAAGAGAGCGGGATACATCCCCTAATGGCTTTAAGAATTGGGACTTCATGTCTGTTCACACATGGGGAGAGAACCCTATAGGCACCTGGACTTTGCAAATTACAGACATGGTAAGTATGAATGACAGGAGGAAGTAACAAGCTTACCTTCAACACTATGAAGCACTTTTTTTTCTTTCTTTTTTTTCTTTATATATATTTTTTATTATTATTCATACATTAAATTGCTATACATCATTTAGATTGTGAAGAGACTTTACCCAGCATGATATACACCTCAGTCCAGTCCAGTTGAGACCACTATACACATCTTTTAAGATGCTGATTTCAGGATCAGCAGTTAGCGTAATGGGTATGTTGCTGAATTCCCATGTAGCTGAGTAGCTGACTGCGGTTTGAGTCCTGAACCTGGTGGCTTAAACTCACACCAAGTGCGTGTGCGTGCATGCCCAAGATCCTGAGAGGAGAATGGAGGAGAAGGGATTGTGGCGTGGCCATCCCCCCTAGGGGGTGATTTCTCTCTTCCTGTCATCTCTCTTTGTCTTTCTGGTGAGCGCACGTGCCCTGTAGCGAAAAACTCTCAAAAAAAAAAACTCTCGTCAGAAAAAAACTTAAAAAAAAAAAAAAAAAAAAAAAAAAAAAAAAGATGCTGATTTCATTAGTAGTTAGGGTCCTAAAGAACTCAACCGCTCCTTAGTAGAAAAGTGCAGTGTTTCGAGCTTGGCCAGTTGGTCATACAAATAATAGTCAAAAAGGCAGTTTAGGCATCAGACCTACTCTAAGACGGAAGAAGTGACAGACTATGGGACAGCCTAGGTGTTCTCATTCTGATGCAGCCAGCTGTGTGCCTTATTTAGCCACCACAATCAACCATTTTTGTCATGCAGTCAGAAGCTCTGACCATCTTTGCTGTGACACTCTGTTACAATAAAAAAAAAAAAAATAAGACCACCCTACAACTATTTTGCAGTGGCTATTTAGAAGTAGCTTAATGTTATAGGAGATATGTTATTTCATATCGTTTTTTTCTAATTTCAGTCATGAAACAAAACAAAAAGCATTTATGTCTCTGGTACTCTGTTTAATAATACTCTTTGAAATCCTTCTCTATTGTTAACCCACAGTCACAAAAATGAAAGAACAGAGCAAGAGTGCAAGAGTCTGAGCAAAAAGCCAGAGAGAGCTGAATTATTTAACTTTGCATCATTTCTCCAGCATTCTTGAGAGAGGAGCATACAAAAGAATGGTGTTACAACTCTGAGTTCTCCTGAGAGAAAAGTGTGATAAGTCTCAACCAGAGAGAGAGTGAGAGGGAAAATGAGAAATCACCCCCAAGAGGGATGGCCATACCACAATCCCTTCTCTTCCATTCTCCTCTCGGGATTTTGGGCACACATGCACATGTGCCCAGAGTGATTTTTAAGCTGCTAGATCTAAAACTCAGACCCTATAGCTGGCCATGTGGAATCCAGTGCCTTAAACTCAACACCATCTGCTAGCCCAACCTAAATAACTTTTTGAAAAGTATTATTTAAACACCCTGAAGATGTCAAGTAAATTAATACAAGTCCTATTTTCATTGTTACTTTCTTCTTCTGAGAATAGCTTTCTCCTAATGACTAGTAAAGCTGTGGTTTAGAAAAATAAGTTGTGAAACACTTTGCTCTCACGGAGAGGAAGAAAATATTCTTAGTGGGTGGCCCTATTCTTGAGCTTGGCCTCTATTCTTTAACTCAATTTCACCATCAGGAAACTGAGGCAATCAATTTACCAAAATGAGACTTTTATATCAAGTTCGAAAAACCTGGCACACACTTTTAGACTATTTTAAAAGATGTTTTAGATTATAGCACATTATTTTTAAGATAATTGTTGAACCTCTGAAAATTAATACCCTTCCCATCAGTGTACAAGTTTTAAGGGCTAATTAATGATGGAAACTGTTTATATTACTGCCAAAGGCTGACTTTTTTTTCCCCAGTGGGATGTTTCTACAAGTTGATCATTGGGAAATATAATTCTGTTTATAGACAATACAGCCAACTTTTAAAAGTATATCCAATAGAGAAAGACTTATAGCAAGTTCTTTTTAAATTAAATGCCTAGTTATAAAGCAGGTATTCAATTTTTAAGTTATTGAAACTGTTGTCTTGGTTCATGTTTGCATTATCAACACAAAACCTAAGACTGAGTGATTTATAAAGAAAAGAGGAGATTATTTGCAAATCTTATGATTCTGGCACCTAGAAAGTTCAAAGGGATCACAAATGGTGGGGAAGAACTCTTAGCAGAGCTGGGAGTGGTCTAGATTCATTTGGCCTCTGCCTGCCTCATTTCTTCACTGTGTGGAACAGAACTAATCATGGGGCCTAACGCCATACCACACTCAAAGACCTCACCTCGGGACACCACAGAGGGATTAAATTTTCACTTAATGCAATCAAAGCCCCAACACATGAATAGAGGCATCCAATCACCACCTACTAAAATCAAATTCCAAAGCATGGAGACCAGCAGTTGGAGTAATTTTTACTTCATTGGACTCCCACATAGCCAACTGTAGTTCGAGTCCCAGATCCAGCAACTTAAAACTCATGGTGGGCATGTGTGCATGCATGCCCAAGATCCCAAGAGGAGAATAGAGGAGAAGGGATTGCAGCATGACCATCCTCCCTGGGTGAGTTTTTGCTTTCTGTCTCTCTGGTGAGCACACATGCTTTATAGCAAGAATCTCTATAAAAAAACAATAGCAACAAAAAATCCAAAGCGTGAATTTTTAGGGGACAAACCATTACCCAAACCATAACACCTATAAACTGTCAATTATTAAAGAAATCATGATTACAATGATCTCTTTCTTCTTCTTTTTTTTTTTTTTTTTAAGTTTTTTGCTATAAGGTGAATGTGCTTGCCAAGAGAGACCATGAGAGGGAAAGTGATAAATCACTCCCTGGGTGGATGGCCATTCCAAGTTCATTCTCCATTCTCTTCCTAGGATGAAGGATGCATGCACACATGCCCGACATGATTTTCAAGCCACCAAAGCTCGAACCACAGTTGACCATGTGAGAGTCCAGCACCTTAACCACCATACCACCTGCTGGCCCATACAATAATCTCTTTCAAAACAGAACTCTGTGCAACCAACTTACAGAATCTTAAAGTTAGATTTTAACTGTGAAATCCTTTTTAAGCTATTTTGAATGAGTTTGCTTTAAATTATTTAAAACACACACTAAAATGTATTTCTGCTCATTAGTCTGGAAGAATGCAAAACGAAGGAAGAATTGTGAACTGGAAGCTAATTCTGCATGGGACATCTTCTCAGCCTGAGCACATGAAACAACCTCGCGTGTATACATCCTACAACACTGTTCAGAATGACAGAAGAGGGGTGGAGAAGATGGCTGATTCCGGGGAGGTCTGTGAGGCCCTGTTCTTCGCATGCTCTCTCTTGAACTGTACTAGATACTCTAGTGACCTGAAGTCACTAGACATTGACAACAAGTCAATGGAGGGGGAGTAAATGGAATGGTAATGGTTTATTTTATTTATTTACGTAGTGGCTTAAAATACGCATTTTCTATAGGGCAAAACCTTATTCTTTATTTGTTCTTTTACCCAGAACTTAGAAATCAAAATTAATCAACTCAAATCTCCTATTATAAATTTTCTCAATTTATAGCAGATGTCAAGTTATAAAGAAAGCTATCTTTATGCTTAATCCCGATACCTAACATGTCTACTGCACTTATTGGATCATCGAGAAAGTCATGACTCAATTTTGCATTGACAAGCATAGAAAAATACATCATGACTTTCCCACTTCCCAAATTGTTTCATGTAAACTAAAATTCCTATAATCTAGGTACTAGCATGTCCATTGCACAGAAGGAAAACCAAAGTGTAGGCAGCCAAATCATGTAGGCTTCTCAATATGAATTCCATAACTGACATGCCTTGGCAACACTAAGAGTGGTCACGGAATCACACTTTTTCTCAAAAGTTCGGAAGGATAGCTAAAGAAAGTTATTCACATTCCTCAGTCTCAGTCTGCTGAAGCTGCTGGCTTCGCCCTATGGGATGGTGAGCAGAAGCCACATTGTTTTTTTAAGTCTTTGCCCCCCCACTCCATGTCTAGCCTAAGACCTCAAATGTAGTAGATAAGTTCGTAAGAATTTTTTTTGTTTGTTTGTTTTTTTGTTTTTGAGAGATTTTCACTGTAGGGCGCGTGCGCTCACCAGACAGACAGAGAGAGACATAGAGACAGAAAGCGAGAAATCACCCCCCAGGGGGGATGGTCACGCCGCAATCCCTTCTCCTCCATTCTCCTCTCGGGATCTTGGGCACGCACGCACACGTGCCCGGCATGAGTTTTAAGCCACCGGGTCCGGGACACGAACCGCGGTCGACCACGTGGGAATCCAGCGACATAGCCATTACACTAACTGCTGTTTCCCAAGTTCGTAAGAATTTTCAGAATGACTTGACTTGAACAGGCCCAGCTCTGTGCTCAATGTTTTGAAGAATAGTATTTATTCAAGAAATGTACACACCAGATGTGTGAGGCCTCAGCTCAGATTCTGGTCTGCTTATATTCCACAAAGCAGCTACCCTGCAGGACCTGCGTCCCAGGAGGCTCTTCTCCACCGTCAAGAAGTAGATTAACCTTGCAAGTGTTTCTCCCTCTGCAATTCCTTAAGGGTTATTCATAGGACCCTTCCATCGTTAAAGTATTGGAATACTTGTAGAGCGATTAACAAAGAGTGGCTCAGATCTTTCCCATTTCCTCCTCCCGAGCCACCACTGCAACCTCTTCCCTGGCCCCTTCTCACAACCTGCTGCTACATGAGTCGCTCATGGCAGAGAAAGCGGTCTCTAGGGAATTATTCCAATCCTATGATAACTAGTTGGTGCTTTCTATATGAGTTATTAGATAGGTTAGTATTTTCTTCTTCCCGAGATGGAGTCCACTCTAGCAGGCTAACAAGTGAAAGAAACTGAAATTATTGAACACTTACCTCTGTGTCTCATTCCATCCTCAAAACAACCAGCAATGGAGGTGTTCTTATCCTCACAGGGTTTTACCAGTGAAGTTCAGGAAGATTAAAAATGTTGCCAAGGGGAACCAGCAGTTAGCGTAATGGCTATGTCGCTGGATTCCCACGTAGTCGACCGCGGTTCGTGTCCCGGACCTGGTGGCTTAAAACTCACGCCGGGCGCGTGTGCGTGCGTGCCCAAGATCCCGAGAGGAGAATGGAGGAGAAGGGATTGCGGCGTGACCATCCCCCCTGGGGGGTGATTTCTCGCTTTCTGTCTCTATGTCTCTCTCTGTCTGTCTGGCGAGCGCACACGCCCTACAGTGAAAAAATCTCTCCAAAAAAAAAAAAATGTTGCCAAGGATTCATCAGTAAGCAGGAACCCAAGAGCTGAACCCCGAGTCCCTGTGACTCCAAGCCCTGTGCTCTCTCTGCTGCCCACATCACCTCTCAAAGACAGGGAGAGGGCACATGTGATTACTGCAGTTTGTTTGGATTAAATACTAAGCCTTCTTGCTTTTGTTGGTGGCATTCTGTGTTGTAGGAGCAGCCCACACAAGAGAACCCTAAAGAGGACTCCCTGGTGTCCAAAAGCCCCAGCATCGGGAGTGTGGGGAGCAGAAGGGATGAGCTGGAAGAGAGGGCCCCTTCCGAGGCCATGCTGCGACTCCTACAAAGTGCTTTCAGCAAAAATTCCCCACCAAAGCTATCACCAAAGAAGTCTGCAAGTGCAAAGCTCCATATCCCTTATGAAAACTTCTACGAAGCCCTGCAAAAGTTGAACCAACCTGCTCAGCTTAAAAACTCTGAGGACAGTCTGTATAACGACTACGTTGATGTTTTCTACAACACAAAACCTTACAAGCACAGAGATGACCGGCTGCTGCAGGCCCTGGTGGACATCCTGAATGAGGAAAATTGAAAAAAATGTGTGGTCCTGTGTTGGAAATATTCATGCTTCTTCCTTCCTTAGATTTCATCTGTGTCTAAAGTGGTTGTTTTGTCATTGCTTCCTATCTAGGCTCATAATATTCTTTGTGGTACTTTTTCCTTTTCTCCCCAAGCAGTGCATTTGAAGGGTATGAGCTCAAGTGGGATCATTGCTCTTCCCTACCCACACAGGTGTTTTGTTCTTTCTGGAGTCACAATAGATGCATGACTCTCACACCCTATTAAAAAACCTCCTTGGGCCTTTTCATTTCTCAATAGAAAAGGAAAACCTAGGCAATTCAATAATTCGAAAAAGTAATCAGCAAAGAATAATAGAGAGAGAGAAAGCTGTTTTTGTAGCTTCTTTCTTGTCTTTGCCATGTAATTCTTTGATTTTTGTTGCCAAGGAAGGTTTTAGAAAGTCCTAATTAGTCCTAGCTCACAATTAGACCTTGGGCTAGGCCTTTCTATTCCAAAATACTATTTATTCCAAAAATGTCGATCTGGTTACTTGGAGGGAAAGCTGGGTTGTATAGATTCAGAAACAGACCTAGAGGTCTGTGTTTACTGGTTCGAACTGTTCTAGAACATTCTTCCTTCTGTGGTGTGAGCATGGAGTTCAGCCCTTGTGAATCTAACAGTGGCTGCGACTCCTGCTGTGTGCTTGGTCTTCTCTACTTTCCCTTCTTCCCCTTCTTCTGGTTTCTTTTTTCTTTTTTCCTGTCTCCTTCAGCCACAAACTAAGTATTACAAAAACTATTCAGTAATTTATACCATTTTCTCAAACATACTTGGGATTTCACAAATGCCTAGTCACCAATTTTATTTTTAATAGTAGTTATAAGAAATTGCTCATAACATGGCAAACCAATGTAATTATAGGAAAATATTCATCATAGAGAGAACCAACAAGAAGTTTGATTTTTGTTTTTAATAAAATTGTGTTCATTAGAGCAGGTGGACCTGGATCTTTAAAACTAGTGTTCATTCTTCGGGACCAGCAGTTGGCGTAATGGCTGTATTGCTGGACTCCCATGTAGTTGGCCATGGTTCGAGTCCTGGACCCGGTGGCTTAAACTCACGCCAGGCTCATGTGCATGCATGCCCAAGATCCTGAGAGGAGAATGGAGGAGAAGGAATGGAGGCGTGGCCATCCTCCTTGGGGGGGTGATTGCTCACTTTTTGTCTGTCTCTCTCTTTCTGGTGAGTGCACGTGCCCTATAGCAAAAACCTCTCAAAAAACAAAAGCAAAAACAAAAACCAAGAGCATTCCTTGACACTAAAGTATCTTCTCCAGTTCTGTACTGGTAGCATCCAAATTTTTACCAAATTTTCCTCTAAGCTTTGAATCAGAAGACAGAAACTGACAGCCCACAGACTTCATATTCCCTCAGGTAGCTTGTGTTGTATATGCAGAATGTTTTTAAAAATATTAGGGATTATTGATAATATGAAATTTCACATAAAACCCTATCCCCAGTTCCATCTTCTGTGGTGGCAACAGTTGGCTGGAGGTGAGTAGCACTGCTCAGTTAGACTTGAGCTCCAAGTCCCCAGGGTACCTTGCTCCACGCTGTTGACAGCAGCCACTTACTTCATTCCTGGTCAGCATTTGGTTTTGCCCATCCCTGCACTAAACAATGTGTATGAAGTGTAGATGCATTAGGAATACAAAACTACCCTCAATTTCTTTTAGGCAGGATCTGTAATAATAATCATGAGAATTTTCCATGATTGAATTAACTTAGTTTGCATTTACAGGCTAAAAAAAAAAAAAAGAAATGAAGCATTTTAGATTCAAAGTACCTCTGAAATCTAATTTGATGTCTTCATTCACTCTCACTTCACTTAGATGTCAGTTTATACTCCTTCACAAATTGCAGCCTCTGAGCATCCCTCTCAAATACACTCACAAAGACTCCAGTCACTTACATGCTGGCATTCTCCCAATGAACTTGCTGTTTGCATCTTCCATGAAGCTTGAACTTCAGAAAAGCTACTCATGGTAATAAACTAGTGGATTGTTGGGAAAGTCATGACACATTTTTGCATAGAAAAAATACATTACGACTTTTCCAACAACCTGGTAGTTCAAAAAGAGAGCATGAGAGTCTGTCACTGGCGTTGGCTTGAAGTATGTTTGGTAAGACAAACTTCTACCCACTGTTCTCTTTAAATTTATGTAGAACAAAGGTTTCCAGAGCAATATCCATGATGGTTAGAGAAAGTTCTCCTAAAAGACGCCTCATGTCACTCTGCTTTTAGAAGCTTCCCATTGTTACTTGATATAGAGTGTTGGATAGAATTTTGAATATTATAGCACTTCAAAGTATTAAAACTGAGCAGGACTGGAGAGTTAGATTAATTTTCAATTAAAAATGAAAACTAAGACCCAGAGAGGCCAGTAAGTAGTAATCTATCAAAAAGCTGGAATTGAAATTCATCCTTTCCCCATTCCTAATCTAGTGCAAAATATATGAAGCTTTCTTTTTAGTCCTTTCTAATGATACTTTTTCTTGAGTAAAACACCAATCAACTCATTGGGTTGTAGCCAAAGGTTCATTCTAGAGAAGCTTTACTATTTAAATAAGATTATATTTGAATGTTTCCAACCTGGAGTATATTGTTCAGACATAAAATAGTTTGTCAGTTTTTCTTAGTGCCTGTGTGGATTTTTGTGAAAATGTAAAAGAGGAAACTTATATAATATTTCCCTTGAAATTTTAAGCTATATTTTCTTTACAGGTATTTATAATGTATCAATGCTTTTATCAAACAGAATTTTAAAAAGCATAATAAATTATATTGAAGAACCAAAAGTTTTCCTGAGAATAAGAAAGTTTCATCCAATAAAATATTTTTGAAAGGCATGCTCCTCTTTCAATGAAAAAAGTATAATATGTATGTGCCGTGATATTAAAAGTGACCTTTGTCAAGTAGCCTGATACCATGTGTACCTGAATTTAATGTGTGTGGTCTTAGTATTCATAAAGGAACTCCTACATGATATCTTTGATGTGTTAACCAGAATATGTAAAATATACTTATAAATCAGAAGAATAAAGGGTTCCTCACTAAGTCAAAAAGAAAAACGTTCATGTTTCCAACAAAAAGAGGATCTTCCTCACTTATTGTGTTACCCAAATGGAGTTCAAGAAAGAAACTTTGAAGGTTTACATTAAAAAGATAGTACCTTTTTAGAAAAGCAGGCTTTCTAGGAAGGAATTAAAACATCCCCTTGAATAACACAGTCTTTCACTGTCTTGACAACACAAAAGAATTGTGTGATTAAACCTTAGCCAAAATGTCGAGGAGGAAAAACTAATGGGACTTGCTACACATGAAAGAGCTGATACATAACAATTTATAGCATGACTTAGTTTATATACATGTTTAGTTTAAACATGGTTTAGTTTGCTCTGTTGACTAGAATAAAGTAGCTAAGCATTAAATCCTTCCCAGAGGTCCCCTCATCAGAACCTCAGAATTTCCAACACTGATTGCGTATCCTCAAGTCCACTTTCTTGCTTCACACCTCCATCCTGAAATACTCATTTCAGAATCTGACCTACTGCAGAGAGAATCCATTTTTCCCTAGACTCCATTTCCTTCTTCTAAGTCATAGTCATTGAGTCAAACTTGAATAATCTCTTAGGAATTCCAGAAGGACTGCTCTACCTGGGTTTTGCACTCTACATATGTACATTGTCTAAGTGTTCCCATCAGGGTGGACTGAAGCTATGCCTCTGTCTTTTTATTTATTTATTGGTTGGTTGTATATCTAAATGTATTTTAAAATGCTCATGGAAAAATGGAATTAAAGTATGAGTTTATTTTGATGGGAAAAATTTGGGCCAACTGTAGGTTTTTCATAATACATACTTTCCATGAATGTTTTAAAGGTATATACCTGATTTTTTTTAAGGTATATACCTGATTTTTTTTTTTTTGAGAGGTTTTTGCTATAGGGCACGTGCGCTCGCCAGACAGACAGAGAGAGAGAGACAGAAAGCGAGAAATCACCCCCCAGGGGAGATGGCCACACCACAATCTCTTCTCCTCCATTCTCCTCTCAGGATCTTGGGCACGCACGCACACGCACCTGGCATGAGTTTTAAACCACCGGGTCCGAGACGTGAACCACGGTCAGCTACATGGTAGTCCAGTGACATAGCCATTATGCTAATTGCTGGCCCCTATACCTGATTTTTAAAAACATATTTATTTCTTCCATGAAAGAGAAAGAAAAATAGCCCCCCCCCAGAAGTCTTCACATTGCAATCCACCCTAGTCTTAATCAGCTCAAAAGAAGGGTACACGAGCATGCGTGCAGTGCTCAGCAAGGTCCCGGGATGCAAACCCAGAATCTTTCCCGTGTCAGCCCAACTGTGTCTTCTCTGTGCCACTACCTGGCCCTGCACTTGATGTTCTGATGTATGCATATGTAGTGAAATTTTTATCATAATCAAGAAAATCAACATAGCCTTTATCTGACTTAGTTACCTTTTTCTTCTTCATTGTATGTGTGTGTGTGTGTGTGTGTGTGGTAAGAGCACCTAAGGTCTACTCTCTTAGCAAATTCCAATATACAATGTGTTGTTATCTCACTTAGCATAATCTCCTCTAGGTTCATTCATATTCTTGCAAATGGCAGCATTTCCTTCTTTTTTTAAATTTTTTATTTTTTATTATCATCATAATCTTCTTTATATTACATTGGATTACATATAACTTTACAGCGTATTACATTACTTTTTCAAAAGGGAATGCCTTGCATGTCAGTCAATACAGAGACATTAATCTCCCCACTTCAACATTCAGTATCTTTTCTATGTTTTCCCCAATCAGTATTATTATTATTCTAATTATTTTTTAAAATAGTCAAACGCTATTTCTCATTTTGCTTGTGAAAAGACTTTGCCCATTGTGAAGTACTTCTCAGACCAATCCAGTTGAGAATACTATACATGTCATCATCAACAGTTAATAAGTCATATCTGTTTCTCACTAACGTTCTCTCTATTGTTCACTTGCTATCTTTCTCTATCCTCTTCTCTTCACCTCCCCCATTCCATTCCACACTGTCCTATTCTCGTTAAGTACCTTCACTGCTTTTATGTACTCCAATTTTTTGCTCTCTACCACAGAGTGCGGATAGTCAGTATATATTGAGTGGATACATACAATATCTTTCTTTCATAGCCTGGCTTACTTGACTCAGCAAAAGATCCTCCATATCTGACCACTTTCTATCAAATGCCAGGGTCTTGTTATTTTTTATGACTGAGTAGTATTCCATAGAGTATATATACCACACTTTTCCAATCCATTCATCAGTTTGTGGACATTTAGGTTGGTTC